TAGTTGCTGTTATGCGGGGAGGGGAGGGGGTGTCTTGTGGTCATATTCATTTGGAAATTTTTGATTTAGTTCACTCAGCTATTAAACTCAGAACTGGGTATTTTCATTGCAGAGAGATTCCTAGGATCCCTAAACCTTTATTAATCCTCATAATAGCCAGAGATCATGAAACGTCCTAAAGTCTCCTTGTCTCATTTCATCCTCAAAACAACCCACTGAGGGAATTTAGCATTACACCCATTTTTACAGATAAGGAAACAAGAGGCCGAAAGACGGTAAGAAATGTAGCCATGATAACATAGCTAGTTAGTGGAGGAGATGATTCAATCTGGCTCTCAGCTGAGCTGTTGGTTACAATGCTACGCAGCTGCCACCATAATGGACCAGGAATATGAGAGCAGCTTTCACTCTTCCTTCTACCCTATTCTTGCCGTATGAAGATTGAGGATCTGGGGCCATGACTCTGCCCCTAAGAGCCCATTAATGGATCTCAAACTCTTTTCTTTTTTCTCCTTTTCACTAATCTCTGGATCTCAGGATGGAATGACTTCAAGGAACGGAGATTTTGGCCTTCGTCACACCCCTTTGCAGGGCTTACCCTGGCAGCGACAAACTTCCAGGGACAGTTTTCTGTGGACTGCACCTGACACGGATGGTGGTTGATCTCCCAGAACTGAAGGACTGGGTCACATCATTGGACCTGCAGAGAAAGCCAGCCCCATGGGGGAATGAGTCACTCAGCTGTGTTCCTGGACAGCCACCAAGTGAAATCCGCATGGAGCAATTCCCTTGCTGGGGAAGTCGGGACTTGGGCTTTAGCCTGGCACACAGGGAGTGCACAGGCCTTGGTTTATACGTGGAAAGGGTGGGGATCAACAATATGTAGTCAAAGGGAAAATGCCCTGGTTTAGGAAAGTCATGGCTAGCATCCACTGGAGCCTGCTTAGGCTGGAAGGGAAGTCCACTGCAGATCATCCAATATTTCTCCTTGCCTCTAGGGCAGATCTGCTCCAATAATATCCAAGAAGCTGGGATCAGGAACTCCCAGCCTTTAGCTATCATGACTGGGCAGATCTGCTAGACCTCAGACATGTTCTGGCTTGATAAGCAGTAGGTGACTAGAGAGGGAGGGATGCAGCAGAAATTATGGAGGAGTCCTAGGTTTCACTTGCAGTAGCCTAGCCTCTCATCTTCACCTATAAAAGAAGATCACATCCGGTATTCCCAAGGACTCCGGGTGGAAAAGTTCAGCGGGGGAGGTGATTCCATCCAGAGTCATATCTGTTGTCACCCCTGCCAAATCAGAGCTTCTAATTAATTCTCGCTAGTAGCATTAGCTGGCAACCACTTCAATTCTTCCAATACCTTCAACATCCAACCTCACTGCATCTCATCACATCCCTGATTGACTTATGAAAGGGTGAAACAAGGGTTTGTCAGAGTCCCCGGGAGCACTTTGCACACAGAGTGGAATAGAAAACACAGGTCAAGAGGTTGGGCCCCTCATGTGGGGCCTTTTACCTCCCAGCCTGGTAACCTCACACTCTCCTACACATACACACACACACACACGTACACACACACTCTCTCTCTCTCTCTCTCAAACAAGGCTGAGGCAGCAGAGTTACTCACCAATAAGTCGGTCAGCAAGGCTGACAGGCTGTGAGGAAACCCCGGCCTTGTAGCCTGTCACCTCTGGGGGGATGATGACTGCCTGGCAGACGTAGGCTGTGATAGATTTGGAGAACCCTGACTCACCCTCAGGAATCCGGAGGTCAGTGACATTGTCGGTGCACACAGACATTTTCCGACCCTGGTGGGGGAGTGGGAGGAAGAAGTGGGAAAAAGGGAGTGGTCACAGAGGGAATTCCCAGAAGGGAATAGGGAAGGCTTTTTTACATCTAAATTTTCAGCGTTCCAATGGTATGTTGCAGGGGAATGATTCGTCCCAAGTCTCATGACGAGATAGATTTGATTTTCTGGTTTTGTTTTCTTTTCTTTTGAGGCAGGGTCTTGATCTATTGCCCAGGCAATGGTGAAATCATAGTTCACCAAAGCCTTCACTTCCTGGACTCAAGCAAACCTCCTGCCTCAATCTCCCAGAGTGTTGGGATTACAGGGGTGAGCCACTGTGCCTAGCCAACATTTTCAGTGTTATATATTTTATTATAAATGGTGCTGGCCGGGCGCAGTGGCTCACACTTGTAATCCCAGCACTTTGGGAGGCCGAGGCAGGTGGATCCTGAGGTCAAGAGATTGAGACCATCCTGGCCAACGTGGTGAAACCCCGTCTGTACTAAAAACACAAAAATTAGCTGGACGTGGTGGTGCGCGCCTGTAGTCCCAGCTACTTGGGAGGCTGAGACAGGAGAATCGCTTGAACCCGGGAGGCGGAGGTTGCAGTGAGCGGAGATCGTGCCACTGCACTCTGGCCTGGTGACAGAATGAGAGTCCACCTCAAAAAAAAAAAAAAAAAAAAAAAGTGCTAAATCTGGTGTCTCAGCCTTTTTTTTTTTCCCTAGATTGTAAGTAGATGAGCTTGAAAACTGAAGGAAACCTTTACATTACAATAAAATAAAGAGTTCTTCTGTCTTTGAACTAAGGATCTGTAGTGTGGCAGTACACCATAAGGATTTCTAAACAGGAAAGGAGTAGAGAAAAAAAATACACCATTTCCCCAAATTCCCCACCTTCGTTGCTCTCCATAATTCGCTGAATGACACTTTTGCTACATGGAGCCTGCTTTATTCAGTCTTATTTCCTAAGTGATCATGACCTGTTACTTCTGAGGCTTCATTTTAACTTCTTCGAAGACTTCTGAAAACAAGATAGAGACACCTATCTCTAATCTTTCACACGTTAGTTTCTTTCTTGACATGTTCTCTATATAAACACCCATCAACTTCTTTGCATGCTGCAGAGGATGGGTCAGAGCGCTATGATGTAAAGGCCTTACCACCAACAGAGTCAAAGACTAGATGCTCAAGATGCACTTTATATTGTAACTTTTTTTTAGATGGAGTCTTGCTGTGTTGTCCAGGCTAGAGTGCAGTGGCACGATCTTGGCTCACTGCAACCACTGCCCCCGGGTTCAAGTAATTCTCCTGCCTCAGCCTCCCGAGTAGCTGGGACTACACACGTGTGCCACCATGCCCGGCTAATTTTTCTATTTTTAGTAGAAACAGGGTTTCACCATATTGGCCAGGCTGATCTCGAACTCCTAACCTCAGGTGATCCGCCTGCCTTGGCTTCCAAATTCCTAGGATTACAGGCGTGAGCCACCGTGCCCAGCCTATTTCGTAACATTTGAAATGAACTTTCCCACTGCTAATTGTGGCTTGCTTGCAGTTTAGTCAAGTGCAGCGGTGGGATTAACCTTTGCATTTCTGCCTTTGAATTTTGGATCTGAAATATTTGCAGCAGCATGAAATGGCTGATGGCGACAATCTTTCCTTATAAAGCATTTCATGTTACTTTCTTTCATGCTGTCAGCAAAGAGACATGTGGATGAACTAGAAACAGCTGATTTTATCCAGCCTCTAGGAAACAAGCGACAAACGCAGTGATTGCTGAAGACCGCTTTTTCAAGGAAGGGAAAAAAACCTTTCCTCCTGCGTATTTCTGGGTTTTTGTTTGTTTGTTTTGTTTTGTTTTTTGAGACGGAGTCTCACTCTGTCGCCCGGGCTGGAGTGCACTGGCGCGATCTCGACTCACTGCACACTCCGCCTCCCAGGTTTATGCCATTGTCCTGCCTCAGCCTCCCGAGCAGCTGGACTACAGGTGCCCGCCACCATGCCCAGATAATTTTTTGTATTTTTAGTAGAGATGGGGTTTCACCGTGTTAGCCAGGATGGTCTCGATCTCCTGACCTCGTGATCCGCCCACCTCGGCCTCCCAAATGCTGGGATTACAGGCGTGAGTCACCACGCCCGGCCTTCCTCCTGCATATTTTTAAATAGACTAATTCTGAGGAAATAAAGGTCAGGTAAGAGTAAAAGAACACCTTATTTTATTTTATTTATTTATTTTTTTGAGATGAAGTTTCACTCTTTTTGCCCAGGCTAGAGTGCAATGCGTGATCTCAGCTTACTGCAAACCTCCACCTCCAGGTTCAAGCGATTCTCCTGCCTCAGCCTCCCGAGTAGCTGGGATTACAGGCATGCACCACCACGCTCAGCTAATTTTTTTGTATTTTTAGTAGAGATGGGGTTTCCCCATATTGGTCAGGCCAGTCTCGAACTCCCCACCTCAGGTGATCCGCCTGCTTCGGCCTCCCAAAGTGCTGGGATTACAGGCGTAAACCACCACACTCAGCACCCAGCAAGAACACATTATTTTAAACATCTGTATTTTCTTAAGTGTTTATAATCCTGATTATTTAACTTGAGGGAAAAAAGTCCTCAGGGAGAATAATATTTAAAAACCTTTGAAGCTCCTCAACCCCCTGCTGCCTGAAGGATTTCTGATTTTTCTCCTGTGTCTGTCTCTGGCCTCTGATCCACGGGCCCTCCCCCATTCAATTCTCACCCTGTCAACTGGTATACCTTACCTGGTTTCCACAGAGACTGAGAGTAAAGTGATGGAAGTATTTCAGCCCTTTGGAAGTGAAGCTTGGCCCTCCCAGCAAGAGTGACAGTGTTTGCCAAAGCGGAGAAGTTGTAGTTGAAAGTCCTGGTCGGAGTGTTGCGTGAGAAGATGCAATCGTTGTAGCACAGAGAGTGGATCTGACGGGGGGAGGGACGGTCAGGCCCACTGGTCAGGCAGGGCCTTGAGGGGCCGCAGCCGAGAATAACAGTTTTCTCCCCAGTCTGGTCCCGCCCAAATGGGGTCAAGAGAGGAAAGAAAGGATTAGGGTGACTAGCAAAAGAAGTGAAACAGGCACTAGGGAATTTATGTACATTTGCCATTCAGTTATTAGCACATATGTGATGGACAAACCCAACCTGTTATTGTTCAGAAGGGAGTTTGGTCAAATTCTATAGCCTTATTCCTGTGCCCAGATTTAGAAGCCTCTCAAGACACAAGAGGATCCTTTTACTTTTCCAGCAGAAGACAATGAGGTACTAACCAGAAAAGGGTATCTGAGATGGAAGAAGAGAAATTTTTCTTGCTCCCTCCTCACCCCCTCACAGTGTAAAACTCACTGAACTCTGCTTCCTGTTTCTCAGGTTCTCTGTAGGAAACTGAACTTGGAAAGGGCTTTTCTTCCCATAAACCCGTTCATGCTCTGTTTTAGGGTCACCATTCAGCGGCAGCGCACACAATTGTCATTCCTCCCACAGCAGCAGAGGGAGCTCCAGGGGAAGGAAGGTTGTAGCAAAAGTCCAGGGTACCGGAAGAGGTTGCCAGGGGTCTGTAGAATCGCTGCACTTCACTGCGCAGATGAATAGGCCACGTTTGCAGAGTACATATTGATAGTGCCTTACAGGTGTATGTGGCGTGTAGTTGGATCAGTAAAATTACAAATTCATTTAAAAGCATCCGATTAATATCTAAGAGGCTTTGGGCCGCGGTGGCTCCACGCCTCTAATCCCACATTTGGGAGCCGAGGCGGGCGGATCAACGAGTCAGGAGATCGAACCATTCCTGGCTAACACGGTGAAACCCGCGTCTCTATTAAAAATGCAAAAAATTAGCGGCGAGCGGCGGGCGCCTGTAGTCCCTAAGCTGACTCGAGGACTGAGCAGGAGATGGCGTGAACCGGGAGCGGAGCTTGCAGTGGAGCCGAGATTGCGCCACTGCACTCCAGCCTTGGGCGACTAAGCGAGACTCTGTCTCAAAAAAAAAAAAAAAAAAAAATAAATCTAAGAGGCTTATTTCATAAGTACTCTCCAGTATCAGGAAAGTTACATGGGCAACAACACGACTGCCCCACTCTATTTATTTATTAGCTTTAGGGGCTTTTAAATTATGTTTTGTTAAATAGAGACATGGATCCTTGCCTCTGGTCACCAGGCTGGAGTCAGTGGCACAATCATGGCTTCATGACACCTTGAACCCCGGGGCTCAAGTGATCTTCCCACTCAGGGCCTCCCAAAGTGTGAGGATGCAGTGTGGTGAGCCACTGCAGCAGCCTCTTCCACTTAGGAAAAGGAATCCCTTATATTGTAAAGCTGAGAAGCCACTGATAGAAGACAGCAATGCCGAGGTGTTCATATGTCCAGCAAGGTTGGTTTCTACTTTCCAGAAGAAGGGGCAGATTCCATAATAACAGGCGGATTGAACGAGTGCTGCAATATTAAGCCACGGCCCCACCCCACTGTTCCTTCCCTCAGTCTCTGCAACACCTGCCACAATAACCCTCTGGGCCGACGGTCCCACCCAACCTCTCTACCCGCCACTAAAGGGAGACTGTCAGTGACTGAGTTCCTGGACCCTGGAATCAAGCCCGCTTACCCTTAACATCACACCTGGATGGGTGTCCTCCAGGACTCCAACCTAGGAGTAGCTGGGGAGCACTTGGGGTCAGCCTCTAAAGAACCCACCCGGGACCCAGCATCTTCTGAGCTCATCCAAGCAGAGGGCAGGTTTAGGATAAATGCCCAGACTGCCAGGTAACCTTGTTGTTCTTGGTCCCTGGACCGGCAGGGCACAAAGCCTGGACCCGCCGTAAGGCTGGTGGGCTTTCAGAATGGTGTTAGGGATCTCTCTCAAAACACAACAACGGAGA